ACTAAAGTAAGAGGACATTTAATTTTTAAGAGGAATGTCACTCTTTAACCACCTTTTTTGCTATTCTTCCTTTTTTTTAATTAAGGTTTTGCTTATTTACTTGAGAGAAAGAGAGCACACACACACACAGAGGGGGAAGGAGACAGGCAAGCAGACCGGGGCTCGATCTCACAACCCTGAGATCATGACCTGAGCAGAAACCAAGAATTGGAGGCTTAATCAAATGAACCACCCAGGTGTTCCTCTGCTGTTGCTCTGTATTTACATACTAAACCTCTGGTCACTGTTATAACGACAATGTATCATGTATCATGTTACATCAATGTACCTGTTACTGCTGGTATTCACAGTTGGTAACTAAGTCTTCTTACTTCACCATGTCTTTTCCTCCCAAGATATTGGATTTTTTTTAAAAATTTGTCCTACGGAGATATAATTTGCCTACAGTGAGATACAGTTTGGTGTTGACAAATGCATACACCCAAGTAACCAACACTCCAACCAAGATATAAAACATTTCCACCACCCCAGAAAATTTTCTCATGTCCTTTCCCAGTGAATCCCACCTCCTGGTCTGATTTCTTCACCACGGATGAGCTTTGCCTGTTCTAAGACTTCATTTGATGTAATTATTCAGTACGCACTCTGTAGAGAACAAGATGGAGTCACTCATGTCAAGCAGGGGCCTGTGTCAAGCAGGGGACGCAAGCAGTGAAAGGTACTGTAGCCACGAGGTATCCCTGGTACCAGCATCAGCGGACATCCCAGAACTGATAATGAGTAGAACCAGAGGAGGTCTTCAGGGGCTGGAGACTGATTAAATCCCTTTAAAAAGGGGAGGAGTTTTGCAGTAAACTGTCAGGCTCTTCAGACATGACCTCTTTATGTCTGTCCACTTGGAAAAGGCAGCTGCCACGGAAGGCTCCGATCTCCTTCATTGCTTGAACATAATAAGCAGTGAGTGCTGAGAGCTGACCCGGCTGGGACTGAGGCCTTTATCTCAGCTGTGTGCCCGCAGACTGACTTCAGAGTTTGGGTCCTTAACTTCCCGCACCCCTCTGTTATCTTGTTTGTTGTGTGGCTTGTCTTATGTTCCGCTCTGTGTGCTGTGTAAGAAGCCGAGTTTAATCACATGGTGAAATGTCATTGAGTTTGGAATCCTGCACCTGTTTCATAATTATGTCAACCTTGCTTTATGACTGAATAAAACTGACAACTGTAGAAAGACACAACTCATGTGTGCACCTTCATGGTGTGCTCATGACACATTCTTTCATGTCTGGATTTCTCATTCAGCGTAATGTTTTTCGAGAAACATCATGGAGTGTATCATAACTTATCCCTTTTCTCTTGCTGAGTAGTAGTCTTTTATAAATACACCACAGTATCCTTCTTTCTTTTGTTGAAGGACGCCTGGACTATTTCCAGTTTGGGCATTAAATACAAAAAGTTTGTTCCAGTCCTGGTACCACTTTATCCCAACAAAAAGAAGTTTTGGGAATTGGATTTTGTTATTTTTGAGATTCTGCTTTCCATTGATATTTAGATTTTTCAGGGACCTCCCTCCTTCTATCCCTCTGCAGGAAAATCATAGCACGTACCTGCAGCTGGAGAGGAATGAAGTAGGTACCATTGAAGATTGGCAAGTTTATTGGTTCATATAAGGCATAAAGGCTGAATACAGAAAACAAGTTAACATTCTGTCCAGTCTCACAATCAAATTTTGGAAAGGTAGGAAAACCTGCAAAGGGTGATAAAAGGGCAGTAAGAGTACCAACCTATAGGGTTTAAAGCATTATTAGGGCCTCAATTACAATTCTTACAACTATAGCTTGTGCTTACCAAGCTTTCACTAAATGCTAGACATTGTGCTAATTATTTTGTCTAATTCTTATGCTTGAGGTCAGTACATTTATTATCCCAGTTTCATGTAGAGCACATGGATGCTCAGAAAGTCCAGAAAGAAGTCCATTTATGCTATACATAGAACACACTCACATGAGTATATATGAAGTACATCACAGAAACTTGAAATGAAGTGGTTAATTTTTAAGTACCTTGTGGAGTTAGGCAACTAAATAGTATAAAGAGCTTTTCTACTCTCTCTTTTCATTCGCATTTTGCAAACTCTTCTTAAACCATAATCTCTCTCTGTTCATGCTCACTGACTCTGGATGGGTGTAGTGTGTGGCATTTACTTCCCCGGGGAATTACAAACCAACTGGGCAATTGTAGTTTCACAAGTCGAGTAATTTAACACCACTCTTGGAAATAAAATAGTAAGTACTTAGGTATTTTAGATCTACTGTTACCAACACTTCTGACCAAAATTCATGTAAAGCAAAAGGATTTCAGTGGGAAAGCGACTGGTGTAAAATTATCCTTGGGGATTCAATAAAAAATGATTCTTTTTTCCTCCATGCTCTCCTGTCTTCCTTCCCTTTGCTCCCTACCCCAAAGATCTTTTAGTATTCTCTTCCCTAACTGTTACTGATTATATTTTATTCGCCCATTTAAAATAGGAAGAGTGGGGCAGAAAGTATTCCTTTTTCTGGCAAGAAAGCCCTGAATATAATTTGGGGGAAATTTAACCCTAAGAAGCACGGGATGAGCTATGTGGTTTGATGTTTAAAATAGTTTATCCGTGGGGCGCGCCTGGGTGGCTCAGTTGGTTAAGCGACTGCCTTTGGCTCAGGTCATGATCCTGTAGTCCTGGGATCGAGTCCCGCATCAGTCTCCCTGCTCGGTGGGGAGTCTGCTTCTCCCTCTAACCCTCCCCCCTCTCATGCTCTCTCTCTCTCATTCTCTCTCTCAGATAAATAAATAAAATCTTTTAAAAAAAAAATAAAATAGTTTATCCGGGGGCACCTGGCTGACTCAGTTGGTAAAGCATGCAGCTCTTGACCTTGGGGTTGTAAGTTTGAGCCCCATGTTGGTTGTAGAGATTACTTAGAAATAAAATCTTTTTAAAATTTTTTAAAAAGTTTATCCATGGTGTTATGAACAATTAGCTTCCTGTATTAGTTTGTGAGGGCTGCCATAACAAAGTGCTACACACTGGGTATTTAAACCACAGAAACCTATTGTCTCCCAGTTCTGGAGGCTAGGAGTCCAAGATCAAGGTGTTGACAGAGTTGACCTCTTTTGAGGTCTCTCTTTTGGACTTCAGACAGCCATCTTCTTCCCAGGTTTTCACGTGGTCTTCCCCCTGTGTTCATGTCCTAATCTCCTCTTTGCAAATGACACCAGTCATATTGGATTAGGGTCTGCTCATAACGACCTCATTTTACCTTAATTACCTCTTTAAAACCCCTATCTCAAATACAGTCACATTCTGAGGTGCTGGAGTTTAGGACTTCAATATATGAATTTTGAGAAAACACAATTCAGCCCATAACACTTCCTATCTGCTTCATAGAACTGTTAACCTAATAAAATTAGGGAATATTTAGGAAAATGCTATAAATGCAATTATGTCCTGTACAACAGGGTGTTTGTTAGGGTTGTTACATTAGTCACATTTCAACTATTTTAAAATAGTTTGTGAACTCAAGTAGGTTGTATGGGAAGATGTTAGCAGCTACTATTTTAGAGAGCAAGAGTACAAAGAGAATCAGGACATGTTGAAGATCATATCTACAAGAAAGTAGTTTAATTTTTAGCAATTCTCTAAATTCAAAAAAATCAGAAAACTAACAATGGGTAATTATAGAGCATATGAGGTATGCTTTTTGTTGTTGTTACGTTTAAAATAACTTATGAAGAGCATGACAAAAATAGTATTCGAACAGAGTGGACTTGAAATTTAGCATAGTTCGCTGACATCACTTGCCTATAGAAAAATTAGAATGGATCACAGAATGAACAGAGAGGACTCACTATGCTTTGGTCTCATTTTTATAAGTACAGCGTGGTGTTCAAACTTTTAGTGTGGGGGGAATAATTAAAAGGATCTGAAATTGGGAAAAGAACAGATTGTTCGTTATGATCAATCACATTGATTCGTAAGAAACTGACCTTTCAGTAGATAAAAAGTCATCTGATATCGACACTTCTAGGTGTCAACTTAACATTAAAGAGAAATCAGAGGATTTAACCTATAGGAGAAGGAAGGGAAAGCTCCTAGGAGCCATTATCACGGAAGATTAAAGGACTTTGTCTTAAACGCATTATACAATTCATACTTAATATCTCCATCTCAGCATTTCGGGGTTTGGTCTCATACCAATAATAATATTGTCATCTCTCTTCACCCGCTTAATTTTCTTTTTATATTATTAGCTACTTTAATCTTCCAAGTCTATTCTTTTTTTTATCTGTTCCTGGATTAGGCTTGCTGCTTTACCCAGGCTACATGCCGAAATAAACGCTGAGCTTTCACTCTCCGCATAAAGTTTTCCTGCCAGTGGCAAATTCTGAGAGCTTTAGTCCCCCACCTCACCCCCGCCCATCCTTCCCGCAGCCTTAAGCCTCCTGCACCTGCAAATTCTGCATTTTGCTCTCCCATCGTCCTCCCGTCTCTGAGTGGAAGAAACGGTCCCTTCTTCCTCTGAATCCGGGTTTAGATAAAGCAGCAACCCCGTCTTTTTGCTACCGAGGTGGCCGCGGGGACCCTTAGGGAGGAGGTGCTGCTGTTGAGGCTGAGTCATGCCGGCGGCCTGTTCATCAGTTTATACATTCAAATGACACACGGGTAACACGAGGAAATCCAAGCCACACGAGCCAATCGGAACGCAAGCATCTTTGTGTCAGGGGCAGTGACTGCCATGCCCAACCCGGAGGAAAGGCGCAACAGGACTTTGGGGTCCAGCTTTCAGATCGCGCGCCCCGCCTACCAGAGGACCGCTTCTTCCACCGGGCGAGCGCGTCCCCGTTTCTGCTCGGGCGTAGCTGATTGGAGGCGGGGGGGGGAGGTGGAGAGAATGCGGTGGGCGCAGCCAATCCGGGGCGCCCTCCGCCGCTCTTCTCCCCGCCCCCCGCCTTGCCGCGCAGTTAGCAGGCGGCGTCCGGGGAGCCGGCACCACCGTCAGCTCGCAGTCTCCAAGGGTCCGCCCGAGGAGGCCGAGGCTGCGGACGCCGGCGCACAGGCCATGGCCTCCCCCGGGCTGCCAGAGCCTCCCGCCGAGGGCTCGCCCTGGCCTCTGCGCCTGCTGCGCGCGCCTCCCGGGCTGCTGCGGCTGGACCCCACCGGCGGCGCGCTGTTGCTGCTCAGCCTCGCGGCGCTGCTCGGCTGGCGGTGGTGGCACCGGGAGCGGGGCATCCCCCCCGGGCCCACGCCCTGGCCCGTGGTTGGCAACTTCGGCTTCGTGCTGCTGCCTCGGTTCCTCCGACGGAAGAGCTGGCTGCACCGCCGGGAGAGGGCCGCAGGAATGGAGCCCTCGGCCCTGGACCCGCGGGTGCTCCTGGCCGACCTGGCCCGCGTGTACGGCAACGTCTTCAGCTTCTTCATCGGCCACTACCTGGTGGTGGTCCTCAGCGACTTCCACAGCGTGCGCGAGGCGCTGGTGCAACAGGCCGAGATCTTTAGCGACCGCCCGCGGGTGCCGCTCGTCTCCCTCGTAACCAAGGAGAAGGGTGAGCGGGAGCCTTGGGGGTCGCGGGCCGCGTGAACGCGCGATGCGGCGCCTCCTGCGTCCTTTCCAGCCCGCGCACCTAGCCCACTTGCGTCCGGCCCCGAAGTGGGAGGGTGGCGGCGACGCGTCCCTTTAAGCGGGCTTTTAAGATCGCATCGAGCCGCTGGATGGGTGACTCGTTCATAGTCCAAGATCACAAGTAGGAAACCCACAGGAAAGTTGAGGAAGGGTAATGAGGACAGGGGTGGGGGTGGGAGACAATGTGTGAAAGCCAGGCTCTACCTTTCCAGGGATATTCCGTCCTTCCCAGAACAAGGCCTCGTTCTCAAGGCTGTGTCTTCAGGGGGAAACTTTGGCCGTGTAAGAAGGAGGCAGGGATATTCTTTACACCTTCTGGGTTCTGAGTGAGAGTTTAAGAAGATATTTTCCATAAGATAAAAGGTCCAGAAAACACGTTAGGAGCCTATTGGCAAACCTGTCTTAGGGGGTTTATAGCCTCTGATTTCTGCTTCTGGAAATCCAAGTTGGGCAGTTTTGAAGGTTGGGAAACATTATCCACTGCAATAAAAGATCACTTTTACCCTTTCCCTAACTCCCCGCCCCCCCTTTGTTTATCAGTCTTACCCTACGTCTTACTGGCTGGTATAGAACCTAGACTTTTTTGTCTGAGTCAGATGTTAATTTAATTGTCTTTCATCAATCAGGTGTTAAAATTTAAATGTCTTTACCTCGGGAAGCTTTTTCTTATTTCCTCTCCAACTTAGGCTCCCTTTTGGAACCAATTTCTATGCACAATTGCTTTTCCTTTACTGCACTTAACAAAACTGGGGCTGGATAATTTTGTAACTGGATGTGGGTCTTCACCACTAGACTGACATCTAGGAGAATGTGGAATGTGGCATAAAGACATCCAGGCTTTTTAGAATCTGATTAAGCCAGAATTTTGCATCGGGATTTTAAATGAATAGTAATGATAATCATAATGTTTTAAATGTCCCACAGAAAAACAAATGTCACCGTTCATAATTCACCATTTCCCTGCCTTCACACATCGCTGCTACTCTTCTATCTAGAATTTTCTTCCCATCTCATGGCTGCCTGGAGAACTGCTGTTTGCTTTTCTTTTCTTTTCTCTCCCCCCCCCCTTTTTTTTTTTAAAGATTTTATTTATTTGACAGAGAGAGACACAGGGAGAGAGAGAACACAAGCAGGGGGAGTGGGGGAGGGAGAAACAGGCTTCCCGCCGAGCAGGGAGCCTGATGTGGGGCTCGATTCCAGGACCGTGGGACCATGACCTGAGCCGAAGGCAGACACCCAGTGACTGAGCCACCCAGGCACCCCTCTTTTCTCTCCCTTTTCATAAAAAAAAAAAAAAATTGTGGTGAGATACACATAACATAAAATTTGCCAACTTAACCATTTTTAAGTTCAGTGACATTAAGTCATTCACATTGTTGTGAAACCATTACAACCTTCTGCAGAACACTCTTTATCTTGGAAAACTGAAACATTGTACCCGTTAAACAAACATTAAAAAACTCCCTCCTTGGGGCACATGGCTGGCTCAGTTGGTAGACATTCAACTCTAGATCTTGGGGTAATGAGTTCAGGCCCCATGTTGGGGGTAGAGATTACTTAAACAAAAACAAACAAAATCCCCTCCTTCCTCTCTCTACCCCCTGGCAACCACTGTTCTATTTTCTGCCTCTACAAATGTGACTATTCTAGGTACTTAATACAAGTGGTTTACAATATTTGTCCTTTTGTGACTGACATATTTCACTTAGCATCATGTTTTAAGGTTCTTCCATGTTGTAGCTTGTGTGAGAATTGCCTTCCTTTTTAAGTCTGAATACTGTTCCGGTCAATGTCTATTATAGGTTTTGTTTATCCTTTTGTCCCCTGATGGAATTTGGGGACTTACACCTTTTAGCTGTTGTGAAAAATGCTGCTAGGAACATGGCACACATCCATTCAAGTCCCTCCTTTCAGTTCTTTTGGGTAAAAACCCAGAAATGGAATTGCTTGATCATATGGCAATTCTATATTTAATTTTTTGGGTAACCGCCCTACTGTTTTCCATGGAGGCTGCGCCATTTTACGTCCCCTGGTGGCCGTGAACACGGTTCCAGTCCGCCCTCATCCTCACCCACACTTGTTATTTTCTGTTTTTTCATACCTGCTTGAATGTCACCTCTTTGAGAATGTGTTCCCTGACCTACATCTCTACTCCACCAAGCAGAGGTGAGCTACCCTTTCTCCATGATAGCACTGTTTCATTTTAATCTCCACTCCACTCCCAACCCCTGCCAATCGGTTAGCACATCTCTTCACTTCTTCCTGCAGATCTGCAGTTCTGCATCCATCCACTTTTTTCCATCTCCATTGTCAGCACCCTCAATCAGTACCATCATTTTTCATCTGATACTTGAAGCCTCTTAACTAGCCTGCTTGCTTGCACTCTAGTTTATCCACACAGCAACCAAAGGGATCTCTCTTTTTTTTTTTTTTAAGATTTTATTTATTTATTAGAGAGAGGGGACACAAGCAGAGGGAGTGGGAGAGGGAGAAGCAGGCCTCCCGCGGAGCAGGGAGCCCGATGCGGGGCTCGATCCCAGGACCCCGGGATCATGACCTGAGCCGAACGCTTAACAACTGAGCCACCCAGGTGCCCCAGGGATCTCTTTTTAAAAACCATGAATCAAACTGTGTTGCTCCCCAGCTGAAATCAGCTTTCTCCAACTCCATCCTTGACTGACTGTGCCCTGAACGACCTGGTCCCTGCCTGCCTTTCTGACTTTAGCTCTTTTCATTCTGCCTTTACATGTACGTTTCAACCTGCCTAGAAAAATTAAGCAGATTCCTGCCAAACTTGTGACTGTTTCAGTCTGCTGGGTTTGTTGTCGTTGGACATGGAGTAACTTTTCACTTGACTGACTCCTTATCCTCTCTCAGGCCAATTGTCACCTTTGAGTCCTATTTTAGATACTGCCCAATATCACAACTTATTTTATCTCATTCATATTTCACTCATTAAACACCTTGAAAATACTTAGGTTACTACCAGCCCCACCTACTAATGGAATATAAACTCTGCGAGGGCTAAGATTTGGTTCATCATGTGAACAACTGCTTCCCCACTTATTGGTACAAGTAGGTATCAAGAAATGAATGAATATGTGCATAACAAGCATCTGTTGATGCACTTAGCACATTATATTGTAAATTTTTTTGCAAGTCTGTCTTTTCCTCTGGATTTTTTTTTTAAGGTATGAGTTAGATTTTCTTCTTTGAGGTCCTTCTTGGTGGGTTTGTGGTTTGCTCAAAAATCTGTAATAGTTTCTAAGTATCAGTTGGATCACAACTTATTATTAGATCCTTTATGTAGGAAAGGACTGGGAACTGGGGGTAACTTGGTGTTTCAGCATCTCACAACATTCATTTCCCCAGGAGACAGTTAGGATTTTTTAGGTGATACTGCTCTGGTATTCTAATGGATGTGTGTTGGGTCATGTGCTGTGAGTTGAGAAAAATACTTTGGCTGGTGAAGGTGAAGGCTGAATCTCACAACCCTGAGATCATGACCTGAGCTGAAATCAAGAGTTGGATGCTTAACCGACTGAGCCACCCAGGTGCCTCAAAAGTATCTTTCCACTTCCGGTTTTTGTTAATTGATTTATCTATTTCCTTGTTGACAGAAATTAGATCCTTTCTAATTTTAGAAGATTACTAGAGACTTCGAACAAGAGTGAAAGCAAGCTGCAGAGCCATAAAAATGGAAAGTAAAAGGGAAATTGGAAGAAGTTTAAGAGTAGGGTATGTCCCCGTGGAAAGAAAGGACAAATATAATCAGTGGATGGATAGCACCTTCTCTGCTTCAGGGGGAAGAAAATGTATGTGTGATAAATGTAAATTGCATCAAATTTAATGTATTTAAGTATTCTTACTTTAGTGTATGTTCATTACTGTAAAACATAAAACATGGAAAAGGAAAAAAGAATTCCTTTCCATTTTTTTCAAAAAGAATTGAAAATCATGTGTGATCACTGTTATTTTGAGATAGCCATTACCGACATTTTTATGTATTGCCTCTGTTTTAGCCTATCTGAGTTGCTTTAACAGAGTACCATAGGCTGGGTGGCTTATAAACAGCAATTTATTTCTTACAGTTCTGGAGGCTGAGAAATGAAAGATCAAGGCCCCAGCAGACTCAGTGTCTTGTGGGGGCCTGCTTCCTAGTTCCCAGATGGCCATGTGTAACCTCACATGGTGGGAGGAGGGCAAGGGAGCTCTCTGGGGCCTCTTTTATAAGGGCACTGATCTCATTCATGAGGGCTCCACCTTCATGACCTAAATCGCCTCCCAAAGACCTCACTTCAGATACCATCACATTGGGCATTAGGATTTAACATATGAATTTGGAGGGGACACAAGCATTCAGCCTGTGGCAAGCTTCCAGTATTTTTTCTATTTGTACATGTATTTTTTTTTTCCTTTTTTAAAACTGTAGATTCAGTTAGCCAACATATGGTACATCATTAGTTTCAGGTGTAGTGTGCAATAATTCATCAGTTGCGTATAAACACCCAGTGCTCATCACATTGTACATGTATTTTTTTAAAAACATATATTTGCTTCTTTAAAATGGAATCATATTCACACTCTTTAAAATTGTTTTTATCACTTAAATTTTCTGACTGTATTTCCATTTTATTCAATATTCTCCTGCAAAGGCCATAAGAGCCGTACAACATTTGTGAGAATGTATCACAGTCAATTTAGCCTATCCTGTGTTTGGTTCGAAGTGGATTTTTGTTTCAACTGTCCACCACCTGTTCCTCTGACAAGCACTCCCCTTTGAGGAGCTCCTTGTCTTCACCACCCGTTTGTACTAACTGTGGTTGGAACATAAGATGCCCTGTCTTTATATGAACTCCCCTCTCTGGCCACAGTGATTGGTCAAGGGGTGGACCGTGGTCAAAGATGACTTGATCAGAATAT